ACACGTGTGTGTGTTGCATATGTGCACGGGTGTGTTTGTGTGCACATGTGCCATGCGTACATGCATGTGTGCAGCAGACATACATGTGTGCATGTGCGAACACGCACACATGCATGTGTGCAGCAGACATACGTGTGTCTATGTGCGCACACGCACATGGTTTGTGTATATGCGTACACACGTGCACACGTGATTGTGTGCAGATGTGTGAGCGCAGAGCATGTGTGCACGTGTGTGAATGCACGTGTGCATGGGTGTACACGGGCATGCATGCTTGTGTGTGCACATGTGTGTGAACGCAGGTGTGCATGGGTATGTATGTGCACATGTGCGTGCACACATGCCTGCTGTGGGGAGATGAAGAAGGCGTGGGGTTGTTGCTTTCTGGTGCCGCCTTCTCCCATCTTCCCTGTTGCCTCACTTGGTGAAGGGTAGAGAGTCGAGAGGAGAATCACAATCACACCTGTAAGCGATCTGTCTACTCATCTTTGTGTTCATCCATCTGCCCAGTCAACATTCCTGAGCTCCGCCGTGTGCTGGGGACCAGGGGTGTGTAGGTGAAGCAAGCACGTGCTCTCGGGATGCCGAGTCCAACGGGACTGTGGGAGAACAGAGGAGCCATAGTGTGAGCCCGGGGTGTTTGAGGAGGGAGAAACCCCATCTGGCCGGTGAGTCAGAGGAGGTGGCATTTGAGCCAAACTGAAGAGGGCAGGATGGATTGAGCTCTAGAGAAGAGGTTGGGGCCAGGGCTGAAGGGAAGGGGGTCTGATTGTGTCTGATGGAGAAGAGAACGCATTGCAAAGGGGCTGGAAGGGCGGCTGGGACAGGTTGAGGAGGTCTTGAAATTTGGGATAAACAAGGAGCTTTGACTTTGCTTTACAGACAGCGAGGACAGTTTTTTGCATTGCAGTGACAGTATGGTGCCCCCACTTTCCATCTGGTGCCGTCTGAGGGATTCGATGGTGGAAGAGAGAAGATGAGCCAGAGAACAGGCTGTGAATTGGGTTGGGTGATTATTGGGGCTGGGGGCTTCACCATGCTTCCAGACCCTTCGTCATGATCCTTTAGGTCCAGTGAGTTAGCAAGCACCTTGGGTGAGGCCAAAGTGGGGCTTCCTCTTTCTTCCCTCTTTTGCAGAAGTAACTTGGAGCTGACTGGACAGGAAAGAGAAACGTCGGTGTTGGCCAGGGTGCCCACCCTGGGACTAGGGGGTCCTTAGCGGGCCAGCAGACTCCAGGAGATGCAGGAGGTAGAGACGGTCAGGAGAGCCAGGCGTGGGGTCTCCGGAACTCAGGGAGCGAGAGGAGGGGCTGCCAGAGAGGGTGGGCGAACAAGACCCGGGGGGAGGCGGACCAGTGGTTCCAGTGCGTGCACAGTGGGGGCTTGCGACAGGGGCCAGCACTGGTTCTGTATGGTGTGCCTCCTGCCCGCGTCAGGCTCTGGAAATGGTCTTGGGATTGCCCTGCCTCCCGGGGCTTTCTGAGCCCCAGGATTCCCTGCAGGGAGCTGCCTGTCCAGCCGCCCGGCTCCTCTTCCTGTCGCAGGCTGGGTGGGCGGCGGGACGGGCTCATCGTGCCTTGGTTGCCATAACCTGTGACATTTCCCTTCCAGTTGCCGGATTCATTATAAGGATATGTACAGTTTGTTGCATTGTATTGCGCCACCCGTTGGCTTAGGGAAGAACTGCCCTCATAGGTTGGCCTACAGGGTTTGCAACTTCAGAGCCTCCCTCTGACATACTCATCCCTGCCAGAAATGCAAACTCAGCACACACTCCTGGCCTGGTTTGGGAATGAGGATACCTCACCTCTCTTTCCTCCCGTCCTGCCCTGCACTGCACTCCAAACTCCTGGACGCTCTGGTCCCCCATCTGATCTCGCTACCACTCCCGCTGGCTGGGGAGAGGCTGCCTTCTGAGACAGTGCACACGAAGCTTTCTGGCTGGGCCTGGAGGGCAGGGGTCGGCTGCTGGGTGGGAGC